CTTGTAACCTTGGGCTATGCAAGATTGCCTGCAGGTACTTACTCAGGTGCAAGATAACCAGAAACTAAAACAAAGCCCCAGGAAATTTAGTTTGGATAGTGGTCACAATGACCCTGAAAGCACTGTTTTGTGTGAATGAATTTGTTTACCAAACAAATGTGGTTTCATGTTTTAAAAGCCCCCTGCTTCCTGGGCTAGCTGCCTTTCGGTCCTCTCCTGCGTGAGAGCAGACTGGGGGCCCTGAGCTCAGTAATAAATGGCTTTCCAAATTCCAATCTGGCTGATCTGGTTCCTATTCTGAGTGACCCATAACATATAGCATGATAGAGAAAGTAAAATATATTCATGACAGTTGTATATGACGCAAAGTTAGTGCTCAAAGAGAAATCTGAGGGATTGCTTTGTATATGGGTGGTCTGTGCAGACTTTACAGAGGAAGTGGGATTTGACCCAGGGCCTGACCACTTTCCACAGGTAGGGACGCAGGTGTTCACTGAGTGCTGTCCCTGCATGAACATAAGGAATAAACTGAAGGCAAGAGCCAATCGGAAAGAAAAAAAAATCAAAGGAAGAAATATTATGATAGATTTCCTTTTTGTCTTTCTCGAGACAAGGTCTGCTATGTAGTTCAGATTGGCCTTGAACTCAGTTTGTAGCCAAGGCTGGCCTTGACCTCGCAAGGAACCTCCTGCCTCAGCCCCCGGAATGCAATGCTGGAATTACAGGTGTGTACCACCATGCCCAGCGGCATTTGTGCTTTTTAACAGGGAATCCTTGAATAATTTTTGAGTAGGTAGCTGTCTTTTTAAAAAGTAATAATTAGAATCAGTGATAAATTTGGCAGTGCGTTGGTTGAGTAACAACAGAAAGAGAAGAAAGAGCCAATTGTCCTGAGTGCTTAGGACAGGAGTATGCTAGGTTATTTTGAAAGCTATTTTATTGAGCTTTGGCAACCTTGGACAAGCTTTCTCTATAGATAAATATAAATAAAGAGCAAAATAAAAGACAGGTAAAGGAAGTAGGGAGAGAGATCTTTCTAAAAAGGGAAGGAGATCAAAAGATGGCAGGAGGGAGAGGGAGAGGAGAGAAAGGGCATGAAACAAGGACTTGAAGTGTGTTCCGCACATGTACAAACTCCACACAAGGAGTGTAGACATTACATGCTATAAATATGTACTAAAAAGCTTCCCTCACATGACATTGTTAGTGAACAGTGACATTGTTTGCTTTCAAACACAGTGTAAAAAGGAACTACGTATTTAATATAGGTATTCCTTTCTAAGAATACTTTCCGTGCTCTTAACTATGCACATTCATTAATTCCAGAAATTAACAGTTGACTTACTTATGGGGGATGTGAAGTAAATTTTCTCCTTTTACTGTCCTCCCCTGGGGGGGAACACTAGAGATTGAAGTCAGGGCATGGGATACGATAAGCCTGCACTTCACCTCTGAGCTACACTGAAGACCAAATGTTTGGAGAAACAGACTTCCAGCTCAGTGTCACTATAGTGAATTTCTAACTGGTGGTTGATGTGTTATACCCAGCTGAACTGAACCAGCATGGAGCTGGCTGTGGGTGGCCCACCTGAGGGTTGTTTCCAACAGCACAAGAGGCAGAACAGGAGAAACTATCGAGATCCTGTTAGAGATGCTAATTAGAGAAATGTTGAAAGCTGCTGTTTCTCTTGGGCTGTTCCGCTGGAGGACCTTGTCATGCTGGCTTTCCTGATGAACTTGGCTGTTCTTATTGATGGAGGAGCTTGGGACCTTCACTGTCACTGAGAATGGTTGCGGTTCATTTTGGAGGCGCTCTGGTCCTCATCTTGAGCATCACTTCCTGGCTCCAGAGGAGAAGATGGTGCACTACTCAGCCTTGTGGAGAAGCTTGTCATGTTGGCGTTCCTGATGGGATCTCAGCTTTCCTCCTCCTTGGAGGAGCCCAGGACTTCACTGTTGCTGCGGATGGCTTGTGGCACCTTTGGGGGGAGCTCTGGTGCTTGCCTTGAGCGTTGTTTCCTGGCTCCAGTTCAGATCCCTCAGCTTGCTAGCACAGATCCTTCATCCCACTGGCATGGACTTTCTAGCTTCCACCACTGACCTTTGGGCCTTCCCAGCACTGATGGTGAAGACGGCCTTCATGAGATATTGTGTGGGCTCTAGGCCTCCAACTGGACTTATGGAAGGCATTGTTATGAGCTCTCGGTTTTCAGCTGGATTCATGCAGGATATTAGAATCCAAGCCCTCAACTGAATTGTATGGTCTTTAGTGTGAGGACAGATTTCCTACACCCTTTGTATATGATTCTTTGGGTGATTATAAAATATTATAAAATGTGTCCTGTATTATATTGTTCCCCTTGCAAAAACCTCAAACCATGACAGTCACAGAGATGAAGAGCTGGCCCTGGAAGCCTTATAATCTCCTCCTATAGTCAAGGAGTTGAGGGGAAGCAGCTTTCCCAGCCAAGGACCAAAGTTTTCCGCTCTTTGCATCATTTCCCAAGGAGAATTCATACCCAATTAAGTTGTATCTATTCTTTTTCTTCTCACACTTTCCCACAATCCTCCAGCAGGGGGAGACAGTTCCAAAACTCTACAGGAGAAGAAGCCCACAGGATGAAGAGGCCAGGGATTCTGAATGATCCCTTGGAAACCTGCCAGTCAGCTTGAAGCTGTGGTATTAGATATGTGTTGGGCAAGAAAAAGTTGCCTCTATTGTATTAAGCTGTGGAAGCGTGGGGGCTTATCTGTTCCTGGAGCTGGCATTTTAACTAATCAGTCACTAATCCATGTAAAATTATAAAGCAACTAACTAGTACATATCAATAAAGCTTGTTTATTTGTATTCATGAATTGGATGAAATAGCACTAAAGGTTTGACTTGCAATGCAAGATATACAGAAATGTTCAAAAAGAATATACTTCCCTTCTCATTCTCTGGACCGAAAGGAATTGAGGCAGCTATGAAGTTATTCAAACAGTGTCACATAAAGTCTTGGTGGCTTGAGCCAATTTATTATCGTGTGCTTATTACCGTAGTCTCTGAGTTTTCCAAAAGAAATGGAGAAGGTGGATGAATCAAACCACTTAGGTTTCCTGGTTTTCTCCTTCAGATAACTGTAACAAGCTTCCAATAAAAGCAACTGGAGCTCAATTTAGAGATATCTCACAATTAGATGTTTTTGGTTATTAAATTACTTTTTCCAGTTGAGCAATATCAAAAGAATTCCAGAATTTTCTTTTCCTGGGCACATGTGTTTATTCTATGGAACCTGCTTACACTGAAGTTTCATTCTTTCGTAGAATAAGCTATAATGATAATTAAACCCACCAATACTCAGTTTGGGTCTCACTGTTTGCACTGATCCTGCCTTCAAGGTTCATGCATGACAGGCTCTTTCAATTATCTATTGTTTCTTGGATGGAATTACTTCTCTTTTTAAATATAACAATGTAGAAGTGACATAATAGTTGTATGGGGCACAACTTGCAATTGTGATACATTTATACAACATGAAATGGCCAGCTCAGGCTAATGAGTATATCCCTTATCTCACATGTTCAGCCTTTCTTTGTAATGAGAACATGTAGAGCCCACTCTTAGCATCCTTAAAAAATGCAACCTGTTAACTAGTCCACTTGCTGTGCGAGATCTCTCCCGCACCATTCTTCCTGTCTAACTGAAATGCTGGCAGCTTTCATCCTATTTCTCATCCTCCCTGGTAGAAACGAGGCATCCACAGAAGTCTCTTTACCTCATTGGGGTTCTCTATAGAGCAAGAGGAAGGAACAAGGACCCCGCTTTGCCCAGGTATTCATGGACAAATGTCTTTCCCCAATTCTCCTTCACCACTTATGTTGACATAGGTATGTATACTTCCTTGGACAACTGCTAATAATTCAGTCTGCTGTAAGTAATTTCTCCCTCCACCATGAGTGTAACTTAGGTTCATTTTGGGCGCCCCTACCCCCAGTGCACAGAACTATGCACCAACACGAAAGGTGGTGGCCTTTTGTACTAACGGAATTCTGAGAGGGGAAATCAGAGTGGCCTGTTGGGCTCAGGGTTTTGATCCATGAAACAGACAACACATGAAGCACCAAGCTAGAAAAAAGATCCGAATGGTTGCAGAGGATGCCAGACACTATAGATGCAGGCATCCAGAGAAAAAGTACAGAAAGCAAGAAGCAAACGTGACTTATTCAGGGTAGAATCAAAAAACGAAAAACCAAGCAAAATAAAGCAAAGCAAGGGCGGGGGGGGGGGGGGTCACTGGGGCACTTAAGGGAGACTTCGGGGTAATGACAAAGTAGTGGGACCCTGACTGGGTTGAGTTTTACCCTGTGGGAAGAGAAGAACTGCTCACACAGGAGGGCTCACACTAGGTCGGCAGTCTTGGATGAGATGTGGGCTGTGAAGGGTAGGAGCCACTGTGATCCTTTGGGGTAGCCATGACAACAGAAACGCCAGTCTAGAAGCAAAGTGTTTAGAGAGGGATTGCTCAGATTTAATAAATGGACTGTAACGAGAGTCAGATTGGCCTGGAAGCACTGATGAACATCGAGGGACCCCACGGCGCTAGCTCACTTGAAGGAGAAGCTGACATCTTCAAATGGGCCATCCGAGCAGAAGGGCTGGGAAGACAGTTGACACGCGCAACCAGGGCTCCAGGGAGAGGACCCGAGACCTGCTTCTGTGCGGGCCTGCTTCTCCCACCTCAGCGGCTCCGGCTTTCTTCCACCCTGGTCCCCCAGTGGGAGGCTGCTTTGCCTGAAGCGTTAGTAGCCCAAACGGAACTTCCTGGCCTTCTGGCTCCCAGGACAGGTGGCAAGAAACTGTTGGGTGAGCAGCCCGACGCCGCTGCAGGATCGCGGACCGAGCCGCGCGCAGCGTGCAGCGGCCCGGAAGCACCGAGCGCAGACCCCGCGACCCCCGCGACCCCGCGACCCCGCCCGCGCGCCCGCCTCCACCCGCCGCCCTCCGCCATCTCCCTGCCGGCGCCATGCGGACCAATTACTGGAACCTGCTGCTGGCCTTCGCCACCTTCGTCCCGGTCATGCTTTTCAGCTTCTCCTGGTTCTGCCTCTCCAGGATGGCCGAGATGAGTAAGCGGGAGCGGGAGGGCGACCGGGCAGCGATCGGGGCGGGTCCCGCATGGCGCCACCGCGCGGTAACGGGCGCCCCACCGGGCCTCCCGGGCTGCGGCTGTGCGCCCCGCCGCCCGCCAAGGCGGGACGTGAAGGGCGCCTCCCGCGGCCACCTCTTTCGTCTTGCAGGGCTGGTGAGGGTGGGGGGCTGGGTATTACCTGCGCCCCGAAAGGAAAGGGGTGGTACAGACCCAGACCTGGCGCGATTTCGGGCGCGGGTCCAGCAAACGGGCCACGCACGAGCCTGGCGTGACCGCCCCCGGGAAGGCGCCAGCGCGGTACCTCACCGCCCACCGCAGCGGCCGCGTGGCAGACAGAAGTTAGAGCTGCCGGCTAGATGTGAATTTCAGACGCACGGTGAAATTGTCCGTACAGAATGTCGCATGGGACACAGTTGCTCTGGAAACGCATTTCTTTTCTTTTCTTTTTCCTTTTTCTTTCTTTCTTTCTTTTTCTTTTCTTTCTTTTTTTTTTTTTTTGGTGGAACCCGGGATTGGACTCAGGCCCCTGCGCTTGCCAGGGAAGCGCTTATTCTACTGAACCATCTCCCCGGCCCTAGAAACGTATTTCTTGTTTACCTGAAACTCATTTTTATCTAGGTGTCTTACTTTCACCCTACTTGTCCATCCTGTGACCTTTCTCTCTCTGTCTGTCTGTCCGTCTGTCTCTCTCTCTCTCTCTCTCTCTCTTTCTCTCTCTCTCTCTCTCTGTGGAACTGAGGACCTTGCACTTGCCTGACTTTTTCAAGTTTGTTTGTTTTTACTGTGACGTTGAGAGTTGGTATACTTGAGCTTTTTTAGACAGAGGAACCCTGGGAGTTGTTAATACAGGTTGCTTTGGGTCTAATTCTCCTCCCTCTGGACACGTTTATGACTTAGAAGTGAACCAGGTCATCTCGGCTGTAGTACAGAGGCTGGAGTTTGAAAGTGGCTTCATATTCAATGTCAGTCAATATTACATTTTGTCATCATGTACACAAAAATGTCCGATTCTATCTCATTGATATATTAGAAACTACATTATAAGACTTCTAGTCTTTTGTTTTATACTGTTCCCCATTCCTCATTTTCTCTACAGAAGACTATTAAAATGTTTTTATTTATCTTAGAACAATGAGAATATTTATAATAAAAACATGATTTTATTGTTTGCAGAAAGCAAGTAATTTTGGAAGACAATTTAGAATGGTAGCCTTAGAGGACATTTAAATATATTTAATTTTTTTTAGTTAATATTTTTATAAGGACTGGCTGAGGTTTATAAAAACATTTTGGTTCATTTTCCTAGTTATAACCAAAAAGATGTTTACTACTTCAAAGAATTTAGACCACCATTATTCATAGGTACAAGTCCCAACAATGATATATTTCTGAGAATGAAATACTCTTAAACAGCAAATAAATGAGTTTTCATTTTCTGTAAGTTCATCATATTAATAATTCATTAATTTTTTTCAACACACATTTAAGTTCTGCGAAGACAAGCTCTTCTTTTTTCCTCTTTTTGATTCTTCTGCTCACTGCTTCATCCCTAGCACCTGGAAAATTGTGCAGCGTCTAATAGATATGTTAAATGTTTGTTGAAAACAATGAGTAATAAGGTTCATGAGTGATAGATGGAGTGTACTAAGTGCCTATGCACATCGTAGGCACTAGGCTAACACCACCACTGACAGCATCCCAGTCCTGGGCCGGGTGTGATGGCTGCAGAAATAGACACACCTGACACATGATTACTGGCTGATGTCAGGTGTAGGCAGGGACAGAAGGAGAAGGCCTGAACTTGTACTTTGACACTCAGTTGCTTTGAAACTCATCAAACTTGGTCCTCAATGCATTTGACTCCATCTTTGTCCCTGCATTTGTCATTTCTTGGACACTCTGCACAAGGCAGAACTTGTTGGTGTCAATTGCCTTGTGACTCACTACCCTTGCCAGCCAGAACAATTTGTTTGGTACTCACTTCTTTGGTGTTCTTTGCTCTTCCTGGAACTAATTAATGAAGGTTACTGTTATAGCTTGGGATTTACAAGGGGAAACTATACCACACGGGACACATCGCATATAAGATTATTTTATAATAATCACCTAAAGAGTCATACAGAAAAAGAGTGTGGGAAATCTGTCCACACACTAAAGACCAAAGAATCCAGTGGAGGGCCTGGATCCCATGGCAGTGTCCTGCATGAGTCCATCTGAAGACCGAGAGCTCAGAATGGTGCCCCCCACTAGTCTGACTGGGGGCCAAGAGCCCACCACTCCTCATGTAGGCCTATTTCATGGATCTGCACTAGGCAGGCTGAAAGATCAGTGGTGGAAGCTAGAAAGTCCGTGTCAGCAGGGTGATGGATTTGTGCCAGCAGGCTGAGCGATTTCCACGTGGCCAAGAGGTGAGCAGCTTTGCTCTGCTGTGCCTTTCCACTGTGATAGTCTGCCTTGTCACGGGCCTAAAAGCCATAGAACAGCTCAGGGAAGCAATGCTCAATGTAAGGACTAGAGCGCCCCAAAAGACACCACAGCCATCCTCAGTGACAGTGAGGTCCCAAGTTCCTTTGATGATGGACAGTCAAGCTCCTGTCAGGAAAGCCAGCAAAACAAAGTTTCTCAAGGAGACTGAGCAGTGTATCATCTTCCCCTCTAGAGACAGGAAGTAATGCTCAAAGTAAGGACCAGAGCTCCCCCAAAGTGAGCAGTAGCCAATCCCAGTGACGGCAGGGTCCTAAGCTCCTTCAGTGATGAGAATAAGAAAGTTCATAGGGGGTAAGCCAGTATAACAAGGTCCTCCAAGAGAACCAACAGCAGCTTCAGGAAAACCAATAGCTTCCAATAGCTTCTAAACTTCCTCCTCCCCAGTTCTGCCTTTTATGCTTTAGGCAGCAATCCTCAGGTGGGCCTCCCACACCCAGAGCCACACTGGTTCAGTTCAGCTGGCTGTTATAAGTTGACCACCAGTTATCAGTCCACCCCAGTTACTAAAGAACCAATGTATTTTGATATGATTGTCAGAGAAGGATTCTCTGAGGAAGGTTTTTTTGTTTTTTTTTTTTTTCATTTATATAATTTGCTATAGGGTCTCACTATGCAGCTCGGACTCATAGTTATCCTCCTGTTTTCAGCCTCTCCAGTGCTGGGATTACAGGCATGCGCCACCACACCCAATTCAGTCATGGCTCAGCATGCCCCAGGGACAGGGCTGGAGCAGCATGGGAAACTGGGGCTCAAACCCTGGTCCCTGTGCTTGCCAAAGCAGGCATTTAGTCCACTGAGCTACCTTGTCAGCCCTCTCTGTGGAAGTTATATTTGAACAGAATTCTGAATGAAGTAAAGAAGCATTTCTGTGGATATTTGTGGTAAATCTTTCAGACAAAGGCATGTGCAAGGACCCTGCGTTAATTTGGATTTCATTCATTTGTGAGGCCACAGTAGGACTATGAGTTTTACTCTAAATAAGAAGCCATTGCAAGTTTTTGTCTAAATGATGGTTTGATTTGGGTTATGAGAGAGAGAGAGAGAGAGAGAGAGAGAGAGAGAGAGAGAGAGAGAGAGAGGAGAGATCATACAACTCTCCAAGAAGTTTTGGTTTCTCAATTTTAGCACTACTGACATTTTGTGCTGGATAATTCTTTTTGGGGATTTTAGAGGGTCATCCTATATATTGCAGAATCTTCACAGGATCGTTCAGTTCTATCCAGTAGATGCCAGCAGCTACATACCTGCTCCAGTTGTGACTATCAGTGTTTGAGAACCACTAGTGTTTCAGCTTGGCCCTAAAACGCCACCCAAGGTCCACGTGCTGGGGGTTGGTTTCCAGCTCATGGCTTTGGAATGCAGCTGGCTCCTGTGAGTGCTGGTCTCCTCACCAGATGATTCTATGGATGAGTTCCACTGACAGGCTCATCGCAGAGCAGGATAGTAGGAGGCAGGGCCCAGGCTCAGGGCATGGGCTGTGGACGTGTGCTCTTAGAGACTGCATGTTCTCCCTTACCCTGTTCTCTCTGGATCTTTCCTTTCTCATTGCTTCCTGGCTGCCAAGAGGTGAGCAGCTTTGCTCTCCTGTACCTTTCCACTGTCATAGTCTGCCTTGTCACAGGCCTAAAAGCTATAGATCAGCTGATCAAGGATGGAGGCCCCTGCAGCCAGGAGAAGAGGTAAAGCTTTCCACCTTTAAGTTGTGTTTCTCAGACATCTTGTCACAATGACAAAGAACTAACACAGCTGACTTAAACAGCTAAGAAATGGAGCTGCCAGTTGGTGAAATGGTGAAGAAGAACAGATGTGGGTAGTAAAATCAGTATTTCTGTTATGCATGAAGTACTCATTAGAGGTCCCCAAGAGATAACTGGATAGTCCATTGGATGTGTCAGACTGGACTGGACTGGCAAGATTCATTTGAATGTCACCATGCAGTAGCTGGGGCCACGGACTAGAATGAGATGAGCTGGGGGTAGATGGAAAATACCAAGCAGTAAACCTTGGGGAATTCTAGCGTATCACCCTCAAGGAAAAGCAAGGAAAGCAAAAGAGCTAAGCCAAGAAGATATTTCAGGGAGAGAAGTGTAACAGTGAGAGACAGAGTCAGTTCTCCAGGGCAGTGATGAAAAGCCATCTCACACTCCTCGAGGTCATCATACCTAGATCACTGGTGACCACAGCAGCATTGTGTGTCCAGGGCTTTGGTTCTAGGCGTGCTTCATCCCAGTCAACCACAGACAATAATTCAGGCCACCGTTGTGTGTATCACATATCACAGACCTATACTATGTCACTCTCAGGGCGGTGTAGGGGGTGATTGCTGCCTTAAAGCCCAAGTAGCACTGAAAAACAGTCCTAGACTCCCTCCTTTGAGAGTGTGTTTCCAGGGGACTTTAGTTTTGTGCTGGCTCAAGTGCTCACACTTGCCTACGACCGCCTTTGACCGTAAACCTGCAGTTGGTTCATATTGCTGGTGCTGCTATGTCC